TAACATCCAGAACAGTCTCCAATCATTCTCTTTAAGCTACCCCACTGGAAAGCCAGGAGGGGAATATAGCCATATAGGCGGGGCGAGCAGCCATGCATGGCAACATATCTGCAATTTTTGGTGCATATGCATAATTGAGAGTCTATTCTGTGATTCCCTATTGAGCATGCTCAGAAGGCTTAATTCTGACTGGGTGCATCTACACATGCGCCCAAGTGCGCAGTTATTATTGCACAGTCATTTAGTACTAAATAACTTTTGTAGTGCTAAAGCAAGTGCTAAATGGCTGCACAGTAGCTGCTGGTACTGCACAGTCTTGATGCCGCAAGGGTCATTTCTGACCCTACTGCACAGTAACAATGAGCTACTGTGAGGTAGTGGAAACCTCACAGTTCATGATGGTGATGCTACGCTGCTGTAGTGATGAGCTATGTCATCATAGCTCATCACCACGGCGACATAGTTTTTCTTGTAGACTTGCCCACTATGTAGGTTCCAGTTGAATACTATCACCAAGTAACACCATGTAAATCCTCAAATTTTAATTACAGAAAAAAACACAACTAGTAGTTTAATGTAGGAGGAAAGTCACTCCCCTCCCCTCTTTTAGATCCCCCTAGAGCTAAGGTATCTACCCAGAAAACATAAGACCTAGGTTCTAGGCACCCTCTCCCACTTCAGGAGTCTGAGCTTTCACTTTCTGCCACTGAGAAATGCCTAACCTATGGCCTGGTGGTTACTAGTTAGAGCACTTTTCACTTTTGGGTAGGAAAGCACAGAGCAAGGGTAGCTACATGGAATCTAAAGTGTGTGTAAGTGCCTAAGATTGCAGGTAGGCAGCTACATATGTGCCACCTCAGCACCTAATTGTAAAATAGGGTTTACTCCCCTATCTCCCAGGTTGGCCTCATGTCGAAGAGATTAGCAGGCAAATGGGGCTTGAAATGAGGAGACAAATTTCTCTTTACAAATCAGTCTATGATTCACCAGATAGGATCTTCTTGCAGGCAAAAGCTTAATAGGTTTATCAGAGTAGGGCTCTTTCTGGTGAACTGTAAGGCTAGGGACAGACATTCAAAAAGCCTGAGTTTAAATTGATTCAATCTTTGCAGGTTAGTCTAACCTGGCTAGGCTGAACCAGTTTGTAACTGTAGAGACATCCCAGAAATACAGGCACATACCTGCAGTGGTTCAGGCTAGAAGCTGGAGGGTGAGGGGGCTGTGGTGAGGCCCTCTGATTAGCCCAGCAGGGAATTGATAACAGTGCTTATCACCCCCTAACTCAGTGTTTATCATCTCATCAAAAAAACTGCAGAGGATTATTACCAGTTATTTGTTGATTCTGCCTGTTGATTCAGCAGGGACCATAGCCAGCATGTGGTCTGCTATCTAATAAACATACACCTCCTCAGCAAAGCAGAGGGCAGGGGAGAATTCCTGCTTAGTAGGGTGTAGTAGGAGGGTGGGGGAAGCAGCCTACAGTCTGCTTGAGCTGTAGCCAGGGAGCAGAGGGGAGGGACAAGCCCATGCTGTGCAGCAGAAAGCCCTGCCCAGCCCAGAGAGCATGCCGGGATGCTGGAGGTGTCTGGTTTATCTTAAACCAGCAAGGGTTCTGGAACTGACATTGCATAATCTAGTTTGAGCCAAATCAGTTATGTCTGATGCTACATTCAGCCAGGTTTATCTCAAACTGGTTTCAGCTATTTTTAAACTGGTTTATGTGCTCTGAACATGTGTTTTGATCAAGCCACATTCTACCCCAGCTCCATCATGAACAAAACATCTTTTCCACTGGGACTTAGTCTCTCTTCTTTTAAAGTAAAAGAAAAAAGATGGGATATTGCTGAGTTATAATGGTTTACCTGCAAACTTTGTTTTGGTGACCGGCTGTTTACTAGTTTTTTCTTTTCTGCAATAGTAACCTATTTGGTCCCAACCATTTGCTCTTCTAATGCATTTTTGCCCTTGGTTCTATTATTTTTTAAATAAAAATCTTTAAGGTAAAAAAATTTATAGAACTGATCAAATCCTGCAAGATTTTCTTTTATGTAATTTAAGGGAAGGAAGAAAACAAAAACAAGCCACTAATTTGGACTGGAATGATGTAGCGTGATAAAAATCAGATAAACATTTCTGTTGTGTTTCAATCTACATCCAATCGTGCTTTTGACTTTTTTTGGGGTGGAGCACATGAAGAATTGGAGTCTCTCTGTGTAAAGGAAAAAGTTTTGTTTATTTTAGTCTAGTCTAGGACAAACATACTTCATTGTAGATTTGCAATATGTGCATAAGCAAAAAGTACATTCTGTATCCATGTTGGTGGGCTATATGCCAAACAAATGCTTTCCAAGATGCATACAATTATCTCAAACATGAAGCTCTAAACTCAGGTCACAGAAAACTCTTTGTAAAGCTGCTAAGGAGAGACCTGTAATAAATAACTCTGTATGGTGTTTTATAGTCCTGATCCTTGTTATTTTGTTTAGCAGTGGTCTTCATTTTTTTGAGGAACTCTATAAAATTAGCAGACTAAATTTTAAACTGCACCCATTCACTTCTAGATCAGAGCCAATAATTGAAAACACTTAGCAGGTGGGGACCAATGGCTGTCCACTAAAGCTCAGCAGTAAGAGCCTAGGTGATTTGTCTCAAAGTCTGAAGTAGTATGACTGGTATAGGTGCCATTAATTAGACTGTTCTTGCCATACAAAATGGACCTGCCTGATATTTAAGTATGAGCAAATGAACAAAATGAAAAAGTGAGAACTCACTGCACATCACCTGTTCCACAGTAACTGTTTTGTGTGTCCATTCTTATCTCATAGCAAATGGAAGACTTTCTCCAGAATGAATCAAGGCTAATTTAGCACATTTTAGCTTCCATTCCCCTTGGGATAGGAGTGGACAAGATGAAAAAGTTGCCACAGAGCAAAAGATGTGGGATAAATCCTACTCTCAGTTTCACTTTAATATAATTTGTTTATTTACCCATGTTCTTTAGCAGACAGTAAAAAGTGGCACTGACGTGCTATATAAAGATGATGAATATCTACTCATCAGTTCTTAGAAATGTATCAATAATGAATATCTCTATATACAAATTTTAAGTGTTGCAATGACACATGTAGAGTGCTGTTTCCAATATTAATTTTAAACTGCTGCTTTTAAAAACGATCTTCATGAAAAAGTGGCAAAATATTTTAACTTTAGACCCGTCTCCTCATAAATTCAACAAGGACACTTTCCAGAACTAACATGCACTTTGACAAATCAAATAGCTCTTCTACTTTTTAGTACCATTGGAATTATTTTCTTTTCTGAAGCAATGAAATAGCCCTTATAAAAGTAGAATTAATTCAAAATGCTTACCATTGAAGTTTGATGTAAAACAGAAGACATCGTATCTGCTTTTATCTTTATCCCAGAACCCATAATTCCTGACTCCAGGTACTGTGTTTTTTCCTCCACAAGGTTCTCTGGGTTTGGTGATGGGATATTGCACGGATCCATCACTAAGCCAGCCTGCATTACACCAGTCCAACCCTGATCTCCATGCTTCATACAACTGGTCAAAGGAGGCAATAACAGAATCTTGGTCCAGACAAGCTTGCTGAGCTTCATGGAAGTTTAAATTGTAGCGACCCAGCCGTGGAAAGTAAGGAAATACAACACCTAGATCAGCAGGACAGAAAACAGCTTATTAGTCTTTTAAACATAAAAAAACTGAAGAGAGAAAAAAATTGTTCACTGGCATTTAAAGGAAAAAAGTTAAAGGTTAAATCTATAGGGTGTCAAAATACCATTGAAAGTGATTAAGTTTCATTTCTGGGGAAATGCTTTGTCAGCAAGTCAACTGTTTTGCCTGAGAACATTATTGGACTGTCTCCTTACCTGGCACGCTTTCCTACCTGGCTTCCTACCAGCCTTTCTTGCTGGAACCTCATCAGTTCTGCATGCTCCTTCCCATTCTCTCTAGAACCTTATTGTCACATATTGTGAAAATGCTCTATTTTGAGAAGAGCTGATAGGAATTTTCCAGTCATTTTTTTTCCATCATGAAATACCAATCTGATGAAGTTAAAATGGTTAATAAGAAAGGACTAATTTTAACAAATGTCTTGTTTTGAGAAAAAAAAACATGAGAAAATTCAAATTGTTGATGTAGGTCCTATATCAGCTTTTTCAAAGGAGAAAACAAATTCTGGTTCTATACTGTTCATTGAGACATGCAATTAAAATGCAAATGTTTTATACAAGTTTCAACACTAGTAAAATGTTTGGTTAATCCAAAATATTTTTTTACCCAGATTGTCAGTCCATGTAAACTTTCAAGAGTTTGACTTTTTGTCCTGATTCAGCACAGGAAAACAAGAACTGAAATCTTGAAAATATTCCTTGGATGGGAAAGTCATTTCCCATCCAGATCCAGTGTTGGCACCTTATATGCCAAAAAATACACATGCACTGGAGGAAAGTAGAAGGTAGGCAACAGAAATGGTTGAGGGCTATGCATTTTTTTCCTCTACCAGGTTCTCTGGGTTTGGTGATGGGATATTGCACTGATCTCTCACTAAGCCAGCCCATATTACACCAGTCCAACCCTGATCTCCATGCTTCATACAATTGCTCAAAGGAGGCAATAATAGAATGTGGGTCCAGGCAAGCTTTTACAGGCAGTCCTCATCTTACAACTCTTTGAGTTACAACGAAAGGCAGTTAAGATGTTTATAAATTGACACCCGGTTTTGACATTCCGATGTGGGTTTCGACTTTATGATACTGGATACAGCTGCGTCCAGCTGGTAAGTCTGGCGTGATGGAAGGGGAGAGGGAAGGGAAGGGGTGTGGGGTGGCAGATCAAGACCCCCATGATGAGGGAGAGGCTGGGGCTGGGGCAAGTTGGTTCTCTGGCGGCTCCTGCCACTCGTCTGGGAGGGCATGGTGGGGCGTGTGCCTCCAGATTGGGGCAGGGTGGGCAGGGCCGGGGCTGCACCAGGATGCACTCTGGGCAGATGGCAGGGCCTCTGCTCTGCTGCCCACCCCACTCCACCCAGCCACCTGCCCTGATTCGGGGACACATGACCCCCACATGCCCTACTGCCACTTGCCCAGCCGGGGCAGGACAGGCATGGGATGGAGCTTTGGCTCATCTGGGAGGGGGGAGCGGCTCCTGCTGCTGTGCACCGCTTGTCTGAAGGCACCACAGTGGCCCCATCCCACATCTGTACCGCCCCAGCTGGGTGAGCAGCGCAAAGTCATAGCCCCCTTTTCCATCATAGCCTAGTGTAGCCCCGGCTCCACCCACCCCACCATGCCCAGCTCACCCTGCCCCATCCTGCACAGATCTGGGGGCACATGCCCTCCCTCCATGCCTTCCTGGACAAGTGGCAGGAACCATCAGACAACCAATGTGCCCCAGCCCCAGCCCTGTCCTCACTGGAGGAAGCCTTGACCTGCACCCCCACACTCCTTCTCTTCCCGCTCCCCTTCCACCACACCAGACTTACCAGCTGGACACAGCTGTATCCAGTGTCATAAAGGAACCAACCCCCCCCCCATTTATAACATTGTTCCTATGGGAAAATTGGTTCCAAGTTACAACGTTTTGATTTAAGACATGGTTTTCAGGAACCAATTGTGTTGTAAATCTGAGGACTGCCTGTACTTGTAAAAAGTGCAAGTAAAAAGCAATGATTTATTTTTGGTGGTTTTACTGCAGGAAGCATTTTAAGAGAATGGGCTGCTGCTACTTTTCAATAGCTGTATTGTGGCTTTTAGTCACAGTTTCAGCATTGAAACAGTATTGAAGAGACACCTCCCTGCTGTATGGTGTTCTGTTGAACGGACGATACTTGTCCCCAACTATACCTTGTGAAGGGATGTGCACAGCCAGACAATTCCTTTAGCTATTATGGAAAGATCTGGGACTCCACCATCTTTCTGCCCGTCTGGGGTAGCTAGCATCACAGTTGGCACAATTAGAATACACTTGGCAGACAAACTGTAGCAACCATGACTGGCCTCTGTGCATGGGACATGTGGCAGAGAGATGGTTCCACACACACACAGGAATCAATCATACTCTAGCCCTATGCTTGGGATGTGTTTTGCTTATCAGTCCTCAGCCTTTGCAGAAAGGTACACAAGTATTTTTAAAATGCACTTAAGTAAAATTGAGGAAAGCTGGAGGAGTCTTTAGAATTCTTTGAACAGCAAAATTTAATAATAGACCCATTGCCTCTAACTTGCTGTTTTTTCCCATGTTTTTTCACATAATGCCTTCCAATTAAAAAAAATCCACTGCCTGAAGTAGGAGAAACCTTTCAGGGAAGGTCTAAGAGGAAACCTCTCCATCTGGCTCTGATAAAATACAGTACAGAGCAGAGATAGAATTGAAGTAAAAGCTTGGATCAGACCGCCTTAAATTTTGGCAGGGTTTTGGAACCTAATCCAGACCTGAATTTTAAAGTTGGAGCTATACCAATCTCTGTAAGAAGCTGAAACAAAACTGTATGAAATGAGAGCTAGATATGATTTTTTTCTTTTGAGCCTGTCTGTAGTATTGAATCCACAAGGTGGAGGAGGTGAGGAAAAATATACACAGTTCAGAAAAGGGGCTGAAATCCCTAAACTGATATACAAGAGGCAAGGATTTCTTAGGGTGATATTTTTATTGGACCAGCTGCATAACTGGGATAGGTGTCTTTTGTAAGTAGGACAGTCTTCATCAAAAGTTTATCTAACTCCATCCCACTCTGCAGTTGGTCCAATAAAAGATATCATCCTAAAAAAATCCTTGTATTGTAGATTTTCTGGACCATCACAACTATAATACCACTCTAACACTACGACTAAGTACAGGCAGTCAAAAAGCCTGAGGCAGAATCGATTCAATCTAGGCAGCCTACTCTAAGTTGCACAAGTTGAACCGATAACCAACCAAACTGACATTCAGTTTTCAATTGGGAAAGGGAGGGGGAGGCCTGTGCTCACTCAGGCCAGTAGGTGTGGGGCACCACAGCACATCTTCCAGCCTGATGGCCATTGCAAGCCCAGTCAAGTGTCCTCCAATTGTCTCACCAGTATGTGTCCCCAACCTCCTGATGTTCCCCCACAGGGGGTTAAGGAGCCCCTTGTCTGGGTGCTGAACCACCTTGGGGGAGCCTCCCCCTCAGGAGGTTTCCCTCAGCATGGATTCCCCAGTCCAAGCAGCCCTGGGGAGCTGAGGGGAATTCAACTCCCCACCACCTCCACCTTCCCACCTGCTGATTGCTTCAGCTACTGCCATAGGAGGGAGACTGGGTGCCTGCCTAGGCAACCCAGCATGAGGGCACCAGGGAGCCCCTGTCTTGGGGTTTCCCCACACCTCAGCCCAGGGTCCCCCAACATCATGCAGCCCTAGGGAGTTGAGGGGAATTCTTCCCCTCCCGAACCACAGAGCTGCTTGCCTTAGCTGTTGTGAGTCTCAGGGATAATGCCAGGTGGCCTCAAAGAGTGGAGGGAAATTCCTCCATTCCCCTGCAACTAGTTTTGCCTCAGACTCGCAGCAGCAGAGGCAAAACCGGCTGCAGAGGAGCAGAATTTCTCCCTAAGGCTGCCTAAGACTCACAGGGGCTAGGGCAAGCAGCTCTGGGGTTTGCGGGGGGGAAGAATTCCCCTTAGCTCCCTGGGGCTACCCTGGGCATGCAGGGCTCCTGGGCAGACAGCCAGTCCAGAGGACTCCTTCTCCCTTCCTCCTGTGGCAGTGACTGAAGCAATTAGGGGAGGGCTGCTGAGGTTTGAAAAGCCCCCAAGACAGGGGCTTTCCCTTCCCCCACATGCTGTGCAGATCCTGGGTAAAGAGGTCTGGGGGTCTGTTCTCCTGGTCCCTCTCCTCCTCCTCCCTATGGACTGACAGATGCATGCAGGAGGCAGGCTAGAGAGCAGAGGAGTGAGGCAGTTCTTGCTCCACTGAAGCAGACAGCATAGCCCAGGGCTGAAAAAGATCCTGGGACACAGGAGAACTGTGAGTTAACTTGAACAAGGAAGGAATCTGAAACAGAAGTTTGATAAACCTGTTTGACCAAAATCATTTATGTCTAATACTACATCCAATTAGGTTTGGACCTGTACTCTTCAATATCTTCATCAGTGACTTGGATGTGGGTGTGAAGTGTACTGTCCAAGTTTGCAGACAATACTAAATTGTGAGGTGAAGTGCACACTCCAGAGGGTAGGGAACGATTGCAGGCAGACCTGGACGGGTTAGAAAAGTGGGCAGTACACAATAGGATGCAGTACAACAAGGACAAGTGCAGAGTGTTACACCTAGGGAGGAAAAATATCCAGCCCACCTACTGGCTGGGAAGTTATCCTCTCAGAAGCACTGAAGCAGAAAGGGATCTCGGAGTCATGTTCATCTTGGAGTCCATTATGAGTCATCTGTGTGATGAAATCATCAGCAAAGCTAACTGCACTTTATCATGCATCAGCAGATGCATTACAAATAGATCCAAGGAGGCGATACTTCCCCTCTATGCGGTATTGGTCAGACCACAGTTTGAGTACTGTGTCCAGTTTTGGGCACTGTACTTCAAGAAAGAAGTTGATAGACTCAAGAGGGTCCAGAGGTGGGCCACTCATATGTTTAGGGGCTTACAGCTCAAACCCTATGAAAAGAGACTGAGGGACCT